CCGCCCTCGCATTCTCGATGGCGATCGATAGCGCGCCACCATTGTCGATCTTAACGACTGGTACAACGGTGGACAATACGAGACGATTTTTTTTTCTTCTTTTTAAAGTACATAGGGAATAAAGATATAGGTAGGGAATGAAGAGAGTTAGATCGCGCTCTATATAGTCGGTTCTTTTTTTTTTTTTCCTCTGGAATCGCATCATCGCGGCTTTTACGTCCGTTAAATTCAATATAGTTTAGCATCGAGAGATAATTAGGTGTAACTTCATCTTTTTTTTTATTTATTTATTTAATTCCATCGTTAGTTTAGAGAGAAAGTGATCTCGATAAAGAGTTCGACCCTAACTACTAATAGACTACCTCTGAATCACCCCTATAATTACTGTCAGAGTAATAACTACGTCGCTATATTGATTACAGGCTAGCTTTAATATTCAGTTAATCGATTATTAATTCATTTCTTTTATTCATTATTACGAATATGACTTTAGCATTCAATAGTTTAAATATATATAGTTTATATTTAGTGGTACATGTGTTTAATAGTTTTCGCTTTTATTTCTTTATCCCTTTGTTATTATTTTTTTTTCTCTTGCGGTAATTTTCATTAGAGATTATTTTTCTTCCTCGCTATTTCGCTAATCACCCAGCGTGAGTTTTTCATTTCTCTCATTTCTCTTTTTGTAAGTCGCTTTTTTCTCTCGCAGGGGACAACGCAGTTTCCCATGGAATCGCGCCTGGCGAGTTAGCTGAACGAGGATTCAAAACAGAAGGGAACGAGTATTGCCTGCCGGAAATATAACTGAGTTTCGCTTCCGTAAAAATTTATTTTTAAATTCAGTTGGCTGTGACGCGTTTTTCTTATCTGTTCGGTTTTTATATATTTTTCCTCCTGCTTGTTTCACTCACTGCGGAATTCTCATGCAAAATATGTACAAATACTTGAATTAAAATCAGGATCGTTTTGTTCTCTCTCTTTCTCTCGTCCGCAATTCTATGCAGTATAGTTGCAAATTACTGGGCACATTTTGGACGTTTGCAAATTTAAAATATATTTACATAATGCTCAAATAGAATTCCGATACAGTATGATGAATAGTCTTCATTATTATTGTTGTTCAATTTTGTTTCCAAAATTTAGTTTACTAAAATTAAAGCAGTTAAGGAAAATAAATGAAAAGAAAATCTTTCTCTCAAATTTACAATAAATTGCAAAATAATATCACGGACGCTCTTCGATCCTTGATTAATCCGTAATCGATTTCCGCACCACCTTTGACCTCTCTCGCGTTAATTACATTCCTATTCAGCCCTATTGCGTACACGTTCGCCCTGCAGCGTGCTCGTTTACGCTTTAAGAGTTAGCTAGAAATTTGGCACTTGAACTTACGTTTCACCTAATCAGTTAGTCTAATTAATAAATTGGCCATCGTCGTGGAAAAAGATACGCGTGTGTGCCTATCTTAAGTATTCTTCTTCTTCTTGTTTCTCCGCCCTCGCTCGCCCGCGCTAATCGATCGATTAAATTCGGGCGATGGGTCATTGTAACGCTTTACAAACAATGGCACAGTGGAATTTACATGCAAGCCTTGCCCCGAACCGGCAAAACGACTTGACGATGGTAACGCGACACTCGAAAATCCGCGTCGCTGCGTGCGATGGCACGAAAAGCGTCGTTTTGCTTTTCCCATTCTGTCGCGATGGCACTACAAGCCGTCACGTAAATACGATGGCGTCGTTTTATAACGGAAACATTCTATATCTCCATAGAATTGTTCAAGAGTGATTCAACATGGAGATTGGACGCTTGAATTTTTTTCTGAATCGGAAGAATATTTTTTTGTATAGTCGATTGTTGTGTTTAATTCCATTGGAAAGTTTTGCTTGTATGCTAATATGCAATATTTGCATTATTTTTGCCAAATTATTTACAAGACTTTATTTTATACAGCGTTTTCTTGACAAACTGACACTTTTACAATAAACGCAACATTATTTTCTAATATTTGTTCTTTTCCCGCTATCAAAACCCTTTCATTCTCATGCACAAAGAGTCACTACAAGAATTTAACGTGATCGACGAGCATAACGACGCGATTCATGTAACGAGCAGCAAAGTCCTATGCGAACGATATCTCGTTTCGCTTAATTTAACAACGGGGCTGAGCGCGAACAACGATTTTACACGCTACGTGTCGTCGATATAATTAAATCTCTGCCGCGTATGTATAATGTATAATACATGTGTATGTATAAAGAGCGGTCTAATAAGAACAGGCAGGGGATCATCGATCTTCCGAACGTCTCGATTAATAGTGTTTCTTCAAAGACAGCTATATTGTTTAAAAGATGGAAAGCGTGATCGGTTTCTCTCCTTGTTCTCTCTAATAGCGTTCAATCTCTAACTGTAATAAAAGTTAGCAATAATTACTCTTGTCAGCCGTCATTTTCTTCAAGCCATTTCATAAAAGCATGCGTGTGAATAATTTATTATGAAAAATTCACACTGTGTCTCCGAAGTCGGCACAAATTGAAGCTTCGCGCGTCGACAAAACGCGCTACCGCGTGATCGAGTAAATTCTGTGATACGTCGAAGCGTGAAATTCAGACGATCAATCGCGTGAATCAGCAATTTCAATTTAACTTTTCGCATTGTTTTAAATTTCGTCTCAAGTAAGTTATACGATTGTGATGTTGGCAAATCCAAGCAAATGTACGCATTTGCTCGCAGATCGAAATTATACAATCAACTCGTCAAAGATGGATATTATTCGGACGAGCAGGTCCCGAGTGTGATTTCGTCTCATTTCATCGCCTTTCGCTCTCCGTCGCGCGATTAGTCCCAATGCTAGATCTACGAGCGTAGAATTCGTCGCTAGAGCTTCGAACTACTTACATCACAGCGCACTACTACTGCTGAACAACCGCGAGTGATTGCAATGATTTTCGCGAGCGATCGCAGCCACCGCCCCTTCGTTCGTGCGAACGGGAGCGCGATTCGCGCGAGCGTTCGGCGATTTGCGGTGGAGCGTGGCGTCTCGCGAAAGCTCTTGCAACTGAAAAAACCCGTCAGCTGCACTAGGCGACTAATGGCGGAAGACTTTGGCATGCTATAGTATATAATAGACCTTACGATAAGTTATACCCGACGGGCAACGCCGTCGGCACACTCGCGTTAATTAGAGGTAGTATTATACATATTTATATCGAGAAGTAGTTTAATCGTCAGCCGCTTGGAGTTATCAGGGGATTGTCTTGACACTTAAACGACAGGCATAATCAATGAGCAATCGTAATTACCTCTATGGGTAAGTCCTTAGATAAGTTCTTAAAACTCACGGATAATTAATCAGAGTCGAGTGAGAAAGATGCTACAAGTACTACAAAACTCGCGCACGACCCTTAACTCGTTATAGCCCATCAGAGCAATACAAGAGTATTTATACGTTTATCGATCTTTATTAACAACTGAGAAGAAATTTATGTTTCGGGTATAACGGGTTAATATCAACGGTCTCGACGAAAGTGTCGCGAAACGGCTCGACGAGACGAAGCTCACCGTCAAGTTCCGGGATCGGTTGATTGATTTGAACAAAAGTAACGTTCGGTAAGAATCGGCATTTCCGTGATCCGCTTTCGATCTTGTTGTTCTTCGTTCGTGTACGATCGATACGGCGAGACGTTCGAAAGATCGCACATCGCTCTGCCAGATTTCCTCCTCGTCGCGCCACCCTGTACATCTGCACTACTGCAATATCCTATGAGCCTATCAACCTTCGTTTAGTTAACTCGTATATTTGTTTGAATTTTTCCTTCACCCTCTCGTTTCTGTCCGCCGCAACTACTCGTTAATCGAAAACGATTCGATTCGCAAAAGTCGACTTAATCGTACGTTAACGTCGTAGAAAGGAGATTTCAACATTTCGTACAGGCGAAGAGTCTCTCATAGCTAGTACGTTTTAATATTATTATTGTTATTATTAATAGTAGTAGTAATATTATCATTATTTATCGTTAATCGTTATCACTAACGTTATTATAATATTTATTTTTTTTTATTACAAGATTACATTTTATATAACAGCCCCGCGTATTAAGCTGAGTTGTCGATTTTAAAGGCGCAAGTCACGTTAATGCCGCTTATCTTACTTCCCTTTTCTTACTCTCATTCAATCGTTCGCTTAAAATGTTCAGTTTGTACGGCAATTTCATTGTCTGCCGTCACTCTCGTTGAATATTTCATAAATTGATATAATAATTAGACAAATCAGAGAAAAGACTCATAAATCTTATCAAGATCAATCATATAAATACACATGTAAATTTTTATTATCACCTTAAAATAATGCAAAAGTATTTCATTCTTTTCTGCAAGGAAAATGAAGAATATTTTTCTAACCATTTCTCCAATTAAAATGACAGAACGGAAAAAAATTACAGGTCATTAAATTGGAAGAGCATTAAGCTTGTATACAAATGTACATATATTGTAATTAATTACGCGATTTAAATATATATTTGAATCTCCAATTTGCATTATACACATATTGAATTGTAAAATTTGTGTATAATTATAACCATAGGAAAGATGTGACGCAATTGAAGTAGAAAATTTTTCTCCGAAGCCAACTGAAGATTTACTTTGCTAAGAATAAACCGAATACTCCTTCAATTTAATTTACCTTTCTCGGCAAATCTACTCGAACTTATGACTATTCATAACGATTATACTCGCGATCACGAGAGCGGCGGATCACACCATGCCCAAGTACGTTTGCTGCGTTATATATCTTCGAAGAACTGTCCATATCGAGTTCAAGGAGGTGGAAACTTTTCGCACAAAATGTGTCACGTTCCGCCTGAATTTAAAATCCACTTTTATAGAAAATTCTGCGATCGGGAATTCTTCGAGTTGATTCTCGACGATCTTCCAGCGAGAATCTCCGATGGCAATAATTCACCCTTCGATTCCTCGTCACGGAAATCGCGGGAAGAAGTCTGTTAAATTGTATAATAATGTTTGCATATAATCGTACGCGTCTGAGTTCCACGTGCCGTAAAATTGGGCGAGTTTGCACCATGGCGAGAGAAAGGTTTCAGAGGCATTCATTATCTGACATACCGGCTTACTTCATTTAATTGTAAGTTTCAGCTTTTGATGAAACGCGGCTCTTCCCGTTGTTCACTCGCACTTATTACGATGTTCTCGTATACCAGATAATTCCGAAATTATTTCCTCCTAAAATGCAAAATTGCACCATTCTACGATATCGGAAGTCTCGCGTTATTACCTAACATTCTTCATCGTAAAGATAGTCTAGCTATTTCCGCATAAAGGGAAAAAACGGTTGTTCTTCGCCGTCGCTCGCGTGCGCTTATTAATTTATAGGAAAATAAACCAGCAGTCGTTAGCGACGAATTACAGTGAGCAATTTTCTGTCTTCGACGTGAATTTCATTACGATATGTGATAATACACATTTACGAGTATAATTATAGAACAAGTATAATCGCACAGTATCGCGTTATATCGTGGTATACGTATTGTTACTTCTTTTTAACTATCTAATCGTTAAATCTCGATTATATTAAGATCACGCGTTTGCTTCGCTAATACGACTTTTTGATACCCGTAATGTTCTAGGACTCGTAATCCATATACGTCGCTGCTTCTAGATTAACTTAACAATTGCGACGTGATTAGTTGCAATCGATCTGGAACGCGTAATATTTTTCGCGTATAACAAGTTACGGTTAGATCCGAACGAACAAGCGAAGGTTCCTTTAAAAAAAAAAACCCCTACTTTCGGCGCGATAGCGATAAAATTACTCCCTTTTAACGTACCGAGGGATAATGTGGCTATATTTCATGTCTTACTAATAATAAATATGAAAAATTGATTACATCAGTAAGAAACAGCCTTTGCGTCGCGATCTTGAAGACACCATCGTCATTTCGAAGAAAAAAAATGCTCGTAATTGGACAAAATGAGACGTGAAATTTAGTCACATTTTTCTACGTCACTTTGTATATAAAAATGGATGGCGCTTTTCTACGTGTCTTTAATCGCAATAAATCGGCGCTGTTAATCACCTTTCCACCAACTTGAACTACAGCAAACGCACGTAAAAAGGAACGATGGGGCCGGACGTCATCTCGCAGCGATAAAAATTATTCGCGCGTCTTCACTTCATACTCTTAACTTCTTCGGAAACAATCAATGGCACTTCGTGGCCTAGAAGGAGGGGAATAAATGCTTTTTTATCCAAATTGTAACTTTACGTATCTAGTTCATAAGACCAGACGCTTTACGTTATTTCATTAAGACAATTAGAGGCTGATCGAGTCGCGCCTGATAATTTTTATCGCCGAAGGGATGACTGTGCCGATGTTAAAATGTCGATGTTTCAAACTACACGTCTTTTTTTTTTTATCGAGTTTCCTTGATTTCTTGTTAACTAGTGACACTTACAGTGATTAATCGCGTTTTTCTTCTCGTCTCTATATATGTAACGTACTCTACCTCTCTTACGACTTTAATACAACATTCGACATTGTCCTGTTAATTTCTTTTTTTTTTTTTTATTTTGTTTACCGTTTTCTCCGCGCGCTAGAGATCAAAACACCATCTTACGCTTGCATCATACGTCTACGTATAATCCCGCCCACGCAACATGATCAACAAGGATTCATTATTTTAATAATCTTTAATAAGTATTTAAAAGATAACGTGATTGGTTGTCGCGTATCCAGTGCCGACGACCGAAAAGTGTATAATACGATTTGGATTCGTCTCCCCGGCGTGTGTACCGACGATCGTCCGCCTACGAATCTGTCTGTGAGCAAGAGCAACTTCCTTTCTTTATTCGGTCGCCATCCCACGTCGCTTTGCCTCTCCGTAGCGTGACTAATCGACTCCGTCGTTTTCGCGATTTTCTACTCGCAACTCTCGAGCGGCTCGTGAATTAACAGAGAACGTGAGGCGTCTTAATTTTGAGCTTAAAAGTAAAGTCACGTTTTCCTTTTATGTTTCTCGCGGACGAAGGAAATGTCTGTTGCGACGAATCGACTCGTTGATCGCAAGCATGGCATCGCATTATTGATTTCGTATAGAAGACAGATCGGAGCTTACCAATTTTGATATTGTTATTGATTGATGTTACAGCGCAATGTTGCTGAAGAGACGACAGCATAACGAGGGACGTTGAAGTCACATTTAAGTTATTTTTTCTTAATACAAGCGAAATAAAAGCTGGCGTTTAACATCTGCATTCCAAAACGATTTTTCATCGTCAGAAAAAAAGTGAGCAGTGTTGTCGCGATAACAATTTCTGTAATGGAATGATGGGAAGAAAAAGATTGATGCGCCAGAGAAAAAAAAGTATATCTCGTTTTTATGTAACGTGCACGAAAAGTATGTCTGTGCAAGTCCGCGTTTGTGAGCGATAATGATCCGTTTTCTCAGCTTTAGATTTAGCAGTAAACACCCGCTCTTGAAATTTAGACTTTAATACTCATGCTAAATGCGAAATTTTCAACTGTTCTCGTAGTTAATGCAGCTTAAAGTTAATCGTCTGATAGAACTGCATAATCCTGTTTAACGCTAAATGTACTACCGTTTGATACATTGATACACATGCTTGATGCGCGCTCGCGCGATTCAGATACAAAATCAAGCATCGAATAACGGCTTTCAGCGTTAAACGTGCGCGACGAGAATACGGATCAATGGCGAAACAATTCGCACACGTTTGCGGACACCGAGAAAAGAAAGTACGTCGCTCGCAACTGAATCTGCTCGCGCTGTCACAAACGGAAGTTATCGAACAACCGTCCCTCGCACATTTCCGTCCCGCGTCCACTGCCCGCATCCCTTCATAGTGCGTCCTTCGAATCTCCCTCGCGACCTACTCGAGAGAGTATTTATGTTTTACATTACCTTCACTTAAATCGTAGTATAAATCCCCCGTTTATTAAATCGTCGTCGACTTTTTTACATACTAATGATACGGATAAGAAAATTCACTTGGCATTATTTTAATCACCTTGGCAGTTCGTCGTGTGTATTCTGAGAGTGTAACGTGTGCGTTTTACCCTTAAAGCCCAAATCTCTTTTCTCTCCTCGCCCCTCTTCTTCTCCTCTTCGCGATCAATTTTTCGTTCTCTCCTCGCGATCGTCACCCCGGTTTTATGCCGGTAAAAAAAAAACTGATGCCTGTCGCCGGCATTTTTGAGCGCTTCTTTTCGCATCTCGTCGTGAACGAGTGCCAATGTCAATCGGCATATAGCAATCCCCGAATTTTGTAGAATACTTCGGCTCGCGTGTTTTCGAGAATTTCAAGCACGTGAAAACTTTGATTGCACTTGCCATTTTTGAGCACGCTACCATTTGCGCTTTCCATTTCAATTTTATACTTTTTGGGGATTTATATCTTCTTTGAAAATTCACATTTTCCAAGATCCTCGAATTTGAGTCTTTATGCGGATTTGTAGAAACATTGCGAATCTTATTTGAACTTAAATCTAGCAACACTGATCCTTGCACGCATTCGGAAATTTCTATATCGTATTAACCTTGGGCCATAGCGAAGTATTTTTAAAACTCATCGACAAATCACGCATCCGTGCGTATCACATCGCATATATGTGTACGTGTATATGTGGTACATCCCCAAGTAGTAGTCGCGGAGGACAGAGTCGAATACTCGCCTGGATTCGACCATTTACGCTACGTCTGTGAAAATTCGTAATTGAACCTCTTATAAGAATTAATCGTTTGACTCGTTCGAGAAAATGCACCGTGTCTCAACTATACAAGGTGTTCATCGACTGCTCTCAGGGATGCGTGTAACAAACCAGTGTACGTGTGTTCCATTCCCGCGTGTTTCCGTATAAACGTGTCCCTTCGCTCTCTCGCGCGCTCGCGCTGTCTAGAAACGGTGTGTCAATGTGTTTCGCTAAGGCGTCCTTGTGGGATTAATTATTATACGATAAAGTTTACCATTACTATTACGTAATTATTATTAGTACTATTATCGTTATCCTCATCGGTAGCGTTATTATTTTCCTTTTTACCGATGTTATTATATATATCATAAAGAAACGAAGTTACTCCCCGTATTGCTTTCTTCCTAACGCGCAGGTCTCCGAAACGAAGCGGCATGCGGACCCGCAGACGAGCAACCACGAGCCCGTTCCGGCGGAATCCGGTTAACGGGAAGAGCGTCGACGGCGCCCGGCGCGCGATCCTCGTCGGCCCCGGAACCACCGGCGGCAGACTGGCTTTTCTGAATCACGTGACGATAATGTGCGGCGCCGACAGCAGGACGGTGATGGTAGCGATGATGGTGAACAGAGTAAAAATGATTAGGCACATCCTATCGATCACCATCGCCGCGAACTTCCAGTCGTTCGTGATCTTCGTGTTCTCATCCTCGCTCTTCAATTGATTCGTTATTATCTGAAATGAGATTGTTGTTTCGTTGGAACTCTATCGGTTAGTACCAAGAGAATGGTTTCATCTTGGCTCTTTCAATTTTTCAGCCGTTTAAAACTTTGGATGTTTGGAATATTGGATGTCCAGTCTGTTTGATTGGAGCTTGGAGGCTGTTTTGGATTTCTGGAGATATTGAAATTTTTGGGTTGGAAGATTGTTGTTCTAGGTTGTCTTTGGAAACTTGAGATCTTGAGATTTGCAGCATCAGTGATTCAAATTTCATATGAATGCTTTGATTTTCAGCCGTTTTGAAGTTTAGATGTTAGAATATCGAACGGTCAATCTGTTTAATTGAAGCTGCAGCTTTCGGTCGCTTCTGAATCGTTGAGTTTCGATTTTTCGGAATGTAGAAGACGTTGAGAGATTTTAGAATTTTAGATTAACTAGAAAATTGTTGTATCCTAGGTTGCCTCGGAGATTTCAGTTAAAAAATTGGAAATCTTACGATTTGTAGATCAAACGACTCGATATTTATCATGTTAATTCTTCTAGTTTTTGTTTGTTTCGATTTTTAGATACATAAAACATTAAATGTTGAGTTTTATATTTCTAGATCTTTGAATGTTGATATTTTTGGATGATGTTGAAATGTTAGGATTTTAAGACTAGAGGATTATAGTATTCCACGTTGTCTTGGAACTTTGTTTGGAAACATGGAAACTTGGGATCTTAGGATTTACAGAACTAGTATAGTAGCTTAGAATCTTTAAATCAGTTTGTAAAGAGATTATAACACATTAAAAATTGAAAAAAAGATTCCAAAATTGGAAAAAACCAAGATTTTTTAAACTACCCGTTGCACCAGCACCTTGCGTAATATCAAATCGTTACCTTAATTTCCTTCAGGATTAGCACAAGCTCGTAGCGGGCGCAGAAGCACGCGTTCTGGAGTATCGTCTCGACCTGCGGCGTTGACGCGTCCTGCGGATGTGGATGATGATGCGGTGTATGCGAGATCTGGTGGCCCGGGTACGATGAGTGCGGCAACGGCGTCGCGTGCTGATGGTGCGGCGTCGTGGGCGCGTGGCTGTGATGATGATGGGGCGTCGTGTGTATGTGACTGTGGCCGTGACCCATCGTGTGCGCATGATGCGGCCCGGGCGTGCTGTACACATTGTTCAGCAAATTGTTGTGGGACGCCAGCGCGTTGTCGTCCAGGTCCAGGACGTTCGCCAACAGGGACTTACTACTCCTCTGATGGAGCTCCAGATCGCCGTATGACTTGCTCGCGCCTGGTAATCGAAAAAGAATTGTCAATTGTGTGAAATTAAAGAGAAATTATGCAATTACTAACACATAACAAGTAATCGTTAATTATGGCAATGTGAAAACGCCGAGGGAATCCAACTTTTCACACGAGTGCAACGTTATAACCCGCGACTTGATCGATATCCCTTTAAATTCTTACTCTACTTAAAATAATTTTACCTGTTACCGGAGATGGGTTTTTAGACTTTTGTACTTCCTTCTCCTCTTCGTGTCCTGGCCTTGACATGCGGAGTATGCAGGGCAGCCAGTATAGGAAAACCACTTTAATCTGTAATGCAATTCAATTAACAATGTAACTCATATAATTAGTTACCAATTATTATAATGGGATCAAATTTGATTACGGAATTTAAAAAGACTACTTACTTTTAATTCTTTATAATAATAATTTTTGAAAATTATTTTATTATTTAAACAAAATTAATAACATCAAATGTAATCATTATTAACAATAATCGTATTATTTCGGCCAAATCGTGGCGTTAATTAAAAATTAAAAGAAAATACATTTTCATCCTTGTCGTTTTCAAGCTTTATGGCACTGCACGACTCAAACCGATTTACGTTAATTAACTTAAGTTAACCTGCGTGCGTACGATTTCGGAAATCTGATCACGCATGGAAATCAATCCCCGAAATTTACATCCTAATTAATATGACATCCAGCGAAAAATTCGATTACGCGACGTGATTTATTATTGCGGCGCTCTCATTTGGCGAAGTAGCCCTTAATTATTCGCCCATAAAATTCCCGATTTATTCGCGATGAAAAGGGAACTATGTATCGGACAGCGGCACATTACATTTTAATTAAAACCATAATTATCTGCCGATACATACCGAAGTCATATAGTGCCGATAATGAATTGAATCAAGCTTTAACAAAATAATTTTCATCGCATCCCTGTGTAAATGAAAAGAACGTTAACAAATTGTTTAGCTAGCGCTTTTCAGGGATACATAATTGCAGACAATATTATTAAAAACCTATTAAGCTCAAAAACAATTAAAAAACCTACAAAGATAAATAGATCGGTTTATCCAAACAGATAATTGAACAATTTCTAGTCAAATTGTAATTTATTATAAACTTAAATCGATGTTATATTGCCGGATATTAACGCGCAATGATTTATCTGAATAATTTTATGACAACAAAATCGATCATTCGTTTCGATTCATTACCTTACCATTTGATTGTTATAAATTTTGCTGTCGATAACACATGTGACCTGATAATTTTCTTTTAAACTTGAACGAAACACTTGTAACAAAGTACGCATGTTTTAAATTGTAAGAAAATTATAGATTAATCTTTTGTTAATTAGATTCGTGACGCTTAGCTCTGTATTTTCATATTACACTACTAACGAGGCAATTAAGAAGTATTACGTTACATGTTTTAATATCGATCAAAGAAAATTACCCATTCAGACATTTCATGAGTGTCAGAATTCCGATGATGATAGTTCAAGATGAGGATCGTGCTGACCACGCTACTGGCCACCATAAACATGATGCAATTAAAGTACGTCCCTGAAAGAAATATGAGAGAATTATAATGTAAAAAAAGTGCGCCAGATCGCAATCGGGAAATGTCTCGTATAATTTAATTATATAAAATTCGAAGCTTGCTACATTTATCAGTTGCGCTTTAATATCTTAATTAATCTCAATCTAGATCGTTTCTTCAACTTTTAATTTATTTTTCGTGTTTTACTAAAATTATGTGTTAAACGCATTGATAGAGCAGCATTGAATTTCATACTTTTTTCTCTATAGCCAAATAAATGAATGTAACGAAATTTTCTTAAAAATAAGATCACGACATGAGCAACTTTCAATTATTTTATAATTATTAATTGCAGTAGAATGTTATGCGTGTCCAAATATATTACATCAATCCTTTAACTCGAAATCAAAGAATATTAATTGGATATCTTCTTGCAGCTGATATTTTACAATTCAAGAACATTGTCCTAGAAGAGTGCAAACACTCTTCTCGACCCTTCCTTTCCTCCTTTTTTCCACACGAATGGCTCGCGACATGGATGATCAATCACGTGTTGCTTTCTCACATTGAAAAATTAATCATATCGAAAATCAATTAAATGAAGCTCACCTAAAAGCGGCACGGCATCGGAGGTCGCCGGCATTGTCTCGGCAACCATATTCAGGAACACAGTGAGGGACAGGAGGATGGTTACCCCTGCAAAAGAGGTTCGTTGGCTTCGATTAATTATCGTTAAACTCGAGTGCGTCAAGAAGGTGGCCGGGCGAGATCAACCCTCAGCCCTTGAACGCTCGAAGGGCCTTCATCAATGCGTAACCATCCTGTGTTTAAAGCTGTTCTCACCCCTGAGGCGATACGCTGTCTCCGACCACGTCGCTTCAGACGCAGTAGCGGACCGTCGCGAGAGTGTCGTTTATAAGTTCTATTTTAATGATTCTTTAAGAGAATGTGGTGCGATTTAAAAAAATTTACAACATACAAAAAATATTTTTTTGAAAGCGTAAATAGTAAATTTGTTCTGATTGCTCATTTTTGATTAATGTGTCAGATAAAAAATTTCCGAGGCAGTCCGCGATTAAAACTTGGAATATTACAATCCATCACCGCTCGGGCTTTGAACTCGACACTCATTCGCGCACCGCAGCGTCGCGTTATTAAGAGGTGCTTTCAAATTATTTAGACTTTCAAAACGCTGCGGCAGATGCCTCATCTAAATATCAGACTCTGCTGGAGTTTCTTCGAGATTCCGCGATACGCGTCGAGAGGTACTCTTGAGTCTCTTGAAAACGCGGAGAGACCAATTGCAATTGAGTCGTCGTATTTCTTTCCCGCGAAATAGGACATTTTCAATTCTTCTATCGTAGTGAAAAAAACTTTCATTATATTCACGCCGTTAAGATAATTTGTGAGCCAGTGAACTTTAGATATTATAGCCTCGATAATTAAATTTTACATAAAAATAAAACAATCTGCATGAAATAATATTTTATATACTCAATTATTCCTTTTATAAATTAATAATCGAGTCTGAATAAAAAAGCTTATTAAAAATATTAAAATTGATTTATCTAGGTTATTCATTTTGCTTCTAAATTGTTCTTAATATAAAATCGACGACTGGAAGAGACATTCTTATAAGGAGACGTTATTATCGTATCACAATCTATGAATAGCTATGAGTTTCGAGGAAACTCACGGCGGAGATCGTGCAATTGTTCGACATTGTCGTTCCATTGTCATCGTATCTCCACGTTGGCGACGGTGATTGTCGCGATCGTTTCCGCATTCGGCGCGGATTCAGCGATGCGCTTGTACGCTCGAAGAAACTCGACGACCTGAATAGAAGGCTCGGCGAAGTTTGCACGCCAGGACGCCGTTTCAATCGGGATCGAAGCGAAATCTAATCGCGTAAACGCCCGATGCGCTTAGCGAACTCCCGCGCCCGACTCTAATCACGAGAACGTTTACACGCTACTGCGAGACGAGGCGGGCAAGGAATCGGAATTATGCAGCCGAGCGATTCCGAGAGCTGTAGGAGGTAGAATCCCTCCCGGGTATCCTGGCTCTTTGCTTGAATTCCAGAACGACCACGCTTACGAGGAAACAATGAAATAACATGTCACGGATAGCATTAACGTAATCTTTCTTTATCTGTATTTCTACAACCAGAATATAGTTGGCGTTACGACTACACGTACATGCAAAAGGAAATGCAGAACCACTTTATTGTACCACATACTGTGAAAATGGTAAACATATTTTTCTGCTAAGAAAGTTCTCTGCCAAGCTGGCAATCATCATCAATCGATTGTTCGTCACTTTTTCGATTAGAAACATTTTTATTTCTGCGGGTTTTTTTTTGTTGAAAAATTATGGAACAACCAATTATATGAAAATCAATGTTCGACAAAAATATAATTTTTAAAATTTCTCATACTTGATAAAAAATTTGCTCTTCGGAATTGCGCTGCGTTTTCCAAGTTTGGACTCAACGAAGTTTTTGTATAATGTAGCGAAATTTTATCGATGCTAATTTCTACGTGAAAACTTGATAAAGTCCCGCGATCCGCGATTGCGGAAGAAACTCGCAGCGACTTGGCGCGCAGTAGTTTCTTGCCGGTGCCCGGATATGCGGGAGAGTCCGCCGGCCGGAAGTAGGTCGGATGCCTAATCGTGCAAACGTCTGATGCTCTTAGGAAACAGGGGCGTACCTAATCGCGAAAGCGTTTACGGGCCGTCGGAGGGCAATCGGAGTTTTGCATCGAGTTGGAACTTACCAAGGGAGAGTTTCTCGCCGGAATCGGGCGGCAGAGTGAACCCGAGGACGGCCATGCTGGCGATCAGGACGCACGGCACAATCAGATTGAAGAAGTAGTAGAGTGTGCGTCTTCTGATGATGACGACGAAGGTGATGTCTATGTACGGTTCTGGGCAGCAATTGTAGTAGATTTCGTTCCTCTTACCGGGCACCCCTAAGCAAGACAAGTAGCAAAATTAGGTTTATCAATCATATCACATATTAAATTAATTAAAATTCTAGAACGCAAGCAACTAGAAATGTAATAAGATATTGTAATAAAATTACGTAATAACGACAAATTTAAAAAACAGAGGCAGAGAGACCAAAAACATCGATATGTCCGATATAAAAATTAGATTTCAAACATTACAAAAATGTATGTAGTCACATAATAAAATTAAAATGTTAAAACATTCAATTTATCAATGTTTAATTGACACTTGCAACAGATGATTTTTTTTTCCACTGCCGCGGAGTGGCTTTCGATAACTGTATATTTAAAATTTGAACACAAATTAAATTTCTCAAGTGGTTATTCAATTCAACGTTTAAATGTAACATCGTAAACGGACAATCGATGTAATACTGCCAATAAAACAAAGTGCGCTCTTGAGCGTAACAAAAGGTTGCCGGAAGCGAAAAATTTCTCTGCTGCGCTATCTAAATTATCTCGTGCAACAGGGCAGAGAAAAACGGACGATTCTGTCTTAAGCTACTCCTTCGAGTGCAAACTCGTGTGCTCGAGCTGCAGCCGCAGTTACTTAAGATACATTTCTACCGCGAAGTCTCATAACCGCGGCACATACATTACACGTGCACGCCAACCTACGCTATTCCCACGCGTAATGTAACGTACAATTTTTCGAGAGATACACGAGATATACGTGAAGCAAATGTTTTTGTACTTGCGTTGGAAACAACAATAAAGCAGCCGGATGCATTTCTTGAGTTTACCCGCAACAAATTCACCGACGAATTACGTATAGTGAAACAATATAAGTAATTATGTTTCCGTAATTATATTTTCTTCCGGAAAAATACAGGCAGCATTTTTCTATTTTTGCATCGCAATTCCAATATGGACAACTGCGTATGTTCCATATGCGAGCTTATTTTCATTACATTAATGGTACATTAGTGTGATTGGAAAATAAAGTATAATTGCAACTTTTTCTTTTGTCACAAATGTTGTTCATTAAGTAAAAAAATAATGTTATTAATTAACAATTTATTTTATTAATCGCGGTGGAAAGGATATTCTCGTAAATTTTTATTCAGCAAGAAATATTTTGCAGTTGCTAAAAACAAATTCTGAATATAAAATTGGTCTGGGAAGTGTGGTCGTGCGATTCTCCGCATATGGGCTTTCCATTTTAGTGCAGATGGATTTCGATATACAAAAATTTTATGGCGGAGGTTTGCATATATCGAAATAAAACTTTACATTGAAGAAGAATTTCTTATTTCATTTTACAAAATCTACTTGTCATATCTCAATTACAAACGTTATTTTGCAAATCTGAATAACAAATTTGCCATAGATAGAAATTTGTATCAAGAATTTTGTGTGTATCTATACACGAAGATTGAAATAAATTTATAGTGTGGAAAAATGCGCGACAGATGCTCCGTGCGCGCGAAAACATAATTTAAATGTCTGCAAGTAAAGATCGTAGTTTAAATCCGCCATCGTTCAACGAATTTCCAAACGATTATTCAAAGACGGTGACGAACTACTATGCGCTTCTCGCATCAAGTGAGACACTTGGATCGCAATCTCGCGCGCGACACTTTACCGATCGCTCGACGTGTTCGCCCGACGAAAACACTAAACTTCGGACGCGCGCGTAGGGCGCCGCCGTCGCGCCCCGCTTGACCCAGATGCAGGCAATTTTGACAGGGACAAAGCGAGGATCAATACCGTTTCCGATTTGCGAAACGATTGATCATCCGCCCGTGCGGCCATGCAAGACTTTAGAATTGCTAATCGGCCGGCGAATCACTTTCGGCGCGGCGGCGAACTATTCGGGCGTGGCGGGCGCGCGAGCTGCTCCCGGATAAGGACTGTAAAAACTCACCTAACAGATCCCACTCGCCGTTAGTGATGAAACTGCTGATGTCACCCCCGGTCTCGTCTTGCAGCTGCAGGTCCAACTGTCGACAATTTATGACGGTCGATTAGAGGAAAGTTATTGCAACCGCACCGCGTGTAAGACGACTGCTTTCGGGAGCGACGGGAAAGTCTGTTCTACAGGATGGCGGGGATACGGAAGTTGTCGCCTTCTATTCTTTAAAAGAAATCTCTCGGAATATATTAAAGCAAAAATTCTCTTTATTCTCCGAGCACACTTTCCACGGTGCTTTTGACACATGAATTAATTCGTATTAATTTTATATTTTTCCTCAAATTTTACTTCATTAAATATTTCCTCAAATTTCTTGAAAATAATATGATTTGTTTTCACAAAGTTTATGATTAATTTAACGAGTAATAGAATGAAAAAGTTGGTAGCAGAAAGCAGAATGATAAAATATCGTATATAGGCAGATGATATTATTCTTTGCCGAGTGCTTTGTCGATTTATCGGCTTCATATAGTCCTTGTTGGCGCAACTCATGTGAATTCATGCATATTTACATAGGCCAATATAAAGCTTTCGCAAACCTAAAGCTTTCGCAATTTCTGCGCGTTTGAATATCGATGCGAAATTTTTTCGTGCTGACGTTCGAGCGCAATCTACGGCGAATTAATATCGAGAGGCGGGGGAGGGGGAGAGAGAATTGTTAAGTGAAAATGGACGATCGAATCGAAAAGTGTTTTGCATCTCGTTCGTATTCAACAGATCGAATCGGGGACTCGGTAGAGTCATGACGCGCGCCGCTGTCTCCCTTGCATTCGCCTCGCGTTTCCATTTCGTTCTGCTTATTGTCCTCCTTAATGAAGCCCCAAGCGTTCTCGAATTGCCCGGCGCTGTGTAATTCGCATCCTCAATTTTAATTATTCCGAAGTTGCACGCTCGACAATTGAAGACTAGCCGGGTACATTGCTCGCGTGGTAGCACGTTTATACGGTAATTCGCTATGCACAAATTACACGCGTCTACAAAACTTTCATTACAATAGCAGAATTATCGCTAGCATATTCGGCCAAATCACGTAATACGACTATTGTGCTTCAAAATTAACACACTTTTTTTTTAGTTATGGATTTTATCGCTATTTCAAGCCACTACTTATTATAGAAAATATCGAGAAATTAAAATATCGAAATGTAATTTTCTTTAATTTAAAAAAAAAAATTGTATAAATTATTTAATTACTATCGATTAATTGCAAAGCATTTTATTTTTATTCACTTACTTATGTTTCATTTACGTATCTACTTTAAATCTATTTGTGGAAATTAATTTAAAAATTATTGTATATTTTTTCATTGTGATAAATTTTTTTTAAAACGTAAATTGTAACAGCTCTATTTTTATAACACTCATTTAAGATATATAAAGAAATATGTTAAAAAGAAAATCCTTCTCGTAGATTGAGTTGCTGAGATAAAAGGATGGCAGAGATATCGCGTGTCGGTGAGAATTCTGGATATCGCGCATTCTCACGCTCATTGTCCTCTAAACGCATCTTCCATGATTCGTAAATTTCCTGCAATTCACCCTGAAATGGCGTTTGCCGACCATGCTGCTCCAACAAAACGCCGAGTGCATTTTACCTCTATTGTGGTATTCTTAGAGCGTAAAAATTGAGTATGCCTCGAATATTTTCCAAAAAATATTTCAACGTCATGCATGTATGCATGTGTTAACATTTTTATAAAAATCTACTAAATAGAACTAACCAGACATAAAAAAAGTTACAAATTTACATACATATATATGTATTAACAATGCCCCATTAGTTGTAGTTATATTTAGTTGTAATTCAAAAAAATATTTAATAATATTTGATTAGATTTGTCGACAAAAAAAAAATACCATTTATTGTTCCGTGTATTTATCTCTTCGTTTTTCACGGACTTGTTATCCGAACAAAAAATTATCCGACACCGTACAAATAGACTGAGTGCAATTTTCGCGAATAGGAGATCGACTTGCGCCGGAGATGGCGGAGGATGCTCTACCGTTACGCGATCGTAGGACTTTACCCAAAGTCTACTCCGTTCTTAGGAATTTCACGAAACGTTCTCACGAACGAATCTCACTGGCAAACGGCGAGGATTCCCCTTTCCCTCTCTCTTTCACGAGTGCTAATCAAACTCCTCCGACGCCGTCGTCTTGAATTATTTCCGCGTCCTGAGACGTGCTGACGAGAAGTACCGACGTGCTTCCGACAGATTGGAAAATTTGTAAGTTCGACGTCTGTGCCGGGAGTAGAAGCGAACATATCGGCATAGAACGCGAAACGACGACGATTGACTGACCCAATTCCGCTAATGCCCGTCCCCTATGCTCACCTGAAAGCCGTCGTACGTCCAGGAGCCGAATTTCATCTCGCAGCGCTGATCGTCAAAGGGAAACCAAGTAATGTCTATCTTGCAAGTGCTCTTGAATATACCGGGCGGCACGTATAAGCAGGTCCCATTGTTCTTTACGACAACGTTCGTCGGATAAGTGCCGTCAAAGCCCTCGTCGGCGCTGTAACCAATAAACATTTACGTTAATCTTCTGCGTGAAATGCAGTAGGCTGGTGTAATCGGCGAACTCGATGAAATTGAAGTTCAAATTGAAAACTATTCGCGTTGGTTTTTGAGTTTTCAACCAAACTACAGTTGAATTCTCACACTGCATATTTCGAGAAATAGAAAATTGAATAATTATTAACGCATTACAATAAATCACGAATTAAATAATATATAAATCTAGATATATTTCACTATAATTAAACAGCTTAAGATTATCGACAACAAATATTTTGTTATGTTTGTTATGTTCTGCGAATAAATTATTTTTACACTTCTTTTGTTAATCTCTTTATTCGGTACTTTTCATGAAAAAGTCTTTCCTATAAACACGTCTTTGTCAGCAGCTGGTTGAAATAGCTTATGTAGGAGTTCTCGTAAATGAGATGATTCCCAGACACGAATAGAACCTCTATCTTTCTTTACTCAGGAGACTAAACAATATTGCAGAACACGTGGGCACAGAATCTAATACCAGAACATTCTGCGTCCCCGAAGTAAACCCGTTGGTTTATCCCTTCTCTGCAATAATTTAGAGATAATTCGGATGTCCCTAATGTTGCTTCTCAGCACAACGGTAGACTCCGACTGCTTACCCTTTTATAATCAATGTATGAGACAGTTAATCCAATTTTGCTTGTTAGCATTCATAAAATTTCTTTGTAAAAATATGACACAATATCTTAATTTCACAATGAGTCCTAATTTGATGTACAAATAGTACAAATTCAAGATTATTAAACAAAACAATAAGCGCAAACCATTACGAATAAATACTAATAACTTTTTTAATAATAAATGAATAAACTTCGGAAATTGCAATAAATTCAGGGAAATCTCCTTGGTAATATAATATTTATCAGTTACGCTAAAGTTTCGTTAATGTCGAATTACTCATAAAGACATTGACATATTGATCTAGATTCATTAACCTGAATATAGATGACTAATTGCTATGACGGAATTTTGTTGTAAATGTTCAAAAAGTATGTTGATAATAAATGGCCGCCATAAAAACGTACCGTTATCGTAACTACAGAGTGGCACTTAAGTATGCAGTATATCTTAACATCTCGTGCAGTAAAATAAATTACCGCGATGGCAAATATTATTCCTGTGTAATATTTTTCAAAATTTAAACACCACATTACCGCCAAAATTTTTACAGAAATCTTTCATATGAAATAGTACTGGTGAATTATCGTATTATCCCACAATTATGAATTGAAAATCTAAAAATAGTTTTGAATTAATTAATATTAGGCGGCAATTTAAATGTTTTGTACACATAGCAGAAAAAACAAATTTAGTATTTTAATTAATAAAATTAACTGTTTGTAATTGTCCTGACATAAGAATTTATATATTTATTAGTATTTTACATTCTGCACAGATTATATCTAATTTTAAGTATAACATAAATTGTGATATAAGAACTTGTATTTTATAAAAAAAAAAAATTCTGAATGTGTTTACGCGTGTGTACAGCAAAAAAATATTAATGTAAAAATATAACTATTACTATGGATTAATCTGGAGACAAATTATTTAAGATTTAAATTTCCACACGAACGAAAATTTACAGCCTGCAAATGAAATTAATTGTTAGTGTTCTAATGAAACAAATTGCATAACGAAATTTGCTACAATTCGAGCTACGTCAATAATCGAGTTATCTAAAGAACAGTTCCTAATTTCAAATTCATGGCGCATCGCAATTGAACCAAAGGGATCACACATGCAACTGTAAATTCACTTATGTAAAATTGTAATTATACTTTGTGAAATGTTACAGTTGCTGCGTGATATTAAAACAATTTGTACACTAGCATAAAATTGTAAAATATTTTATTATTTGTATAATTCTTTAAATAAAGATATATTTATACAATATAAAATAAAATTATATAGGTTTTTTTTATAAAATGTAATTCTCTTACATCTATTATTTGTGTAAATTTACGAATTTTTTGGCAAACGTTTATGCAAACGTTTTGTGAGAGTATATTGATTATCAAGCATCAAACGAAATCGTTCTCCGATAATATTCTCCGTACTTACTTAAGACGTCTACTAAGAACGAATTCTCGTACTACTTAGGTTTACCGCAACGTACGACGATGTAGGATTAAACTCCCAGGTGGCGGCGCGTTAAAGTAGACTCGAATAGACTAGCAGGAGCTAATTATGAACGAGTCTACCTCAGGCCTTTGACGTCCCACCACGTTTATCCAACGCAACCCCGTTCGATTCCGTTCCATTTGCGTTAACTTAACGAGCAGAACAAACGCCAACTTTCCACGTACACTTGGATGCCAATTGACGCGATACTTATTTTTGCAACTTCCCCCAGAGAACTTTTTTATTCGCGTCGTGGCGAGAATATGAACAATTCCGTAGCTCTAGACTGACTATTTAAGCAAGCTACGCGACCTGTTTTGTAAAAAGATACGAGCGATGTGACACGGTTAGGTTATTAGTCATTTAAAGGATATTTGCTTAAAAGCTAAAAGCTATTTTGATAAAAATATCTACGTGAATGCATAATTTCGTTCCCTCCCTATTGTTAGTTTCATGCAATAAATATAAGTGACGTTTGTTCTCTGCAAATGCCAAATTTTAAATTTTTGTGAGGGCGTGTTTTTATTATTTGAGACTAAAACTATATAAAATACTTTTATATAAAATAATATTTTATAAAAACTAGAATATATATTGTGTGTGAAAGATTTATATATATATATATATATATATATAAATGTGCTGCTATTTTCGAATTAAAGCAACTTTTGTCCATTAAAGTAGTATATCTGATGAATTTAACGTTTTCAGTGTTTTTCTCGACAATTGAGAAGTTCTCAATTATCAAGGAATCTCTTCGAGTCGATCAAATGTCTATTTCCATTGTCGACACTGCAATTTTCTATTTATTAAAGGCTTTCTTCTTGCCGCAGCAGTGCGGAAAAGCGATCACTAGAGCAAGTCGCGCAGGACATACTGACTCGAGGTGGGATAACTTAATTAAATTCCTTTTCATCGAGCGCTCCTTCACCCGCGCTTTGATTATTCACCTAACTTAGAGTTATCCGGCAGTTTTAAATTTCTTAACGATTCTCTCCATGATGGGGCTGGCTTTTTGCTTGTTTAATAATGCAAATAGGACTTTACCGTAGAAAAAGTTGCACAAGAACGCCGACTACCCGTTAGAGCGAATATTTAAGTAGGTGCGGTAATCGACAAAGAAATGCAGTTTTTATTTGGTTTATCGGCTCCTAATTAAAGCTCATTAGTGAGAACAAGATTATTCTTGTACTCTAAAAACCGTCGATAGAATAATTTACTTCAGATAGTGTTTAATGTTAAAATAGTATTAGATAAACAAACATATCATAAATAGATAATATAATGCACTTGTTTGTGCCTCTTCTGTGCATTGAAAAGAAGTAAATTGTAAATTAACTGTGAGAGATAAGTATTTTACAAAATCGGTCCTTATCTTTATCAGAGCAAAGAAAAAATTTTATTACGCTGTAGACTTTTAGTTTCCCAATAATACGCGCCGTATATTCCGTCTTCTTTATTTAATCAAGCGTGCGCGAGCTCGTATCGGCGAGAAAATGTTTGCAGGGAGGGTCGATGTGTTCCGACCGCGTTACGTTCTGCAAAATAGAGTATTCTGCTTCAAGTGTGTGCCTTGTGTGATAACGATGCAAGAGAAACTCGCTTGCGGAATTCTTGAGGCTACACGGAGCTTCTTAGTATCGCAGCATTGTTTGCCCTGTATTTTTTATATGTAGTCTCGAAATAATTAATATATAAACAATATAATTATTTTTTAACCTTAAAACAATTTTTTATCCTAGTTGCTGAAAACATAAATATGCTGAAGTTTGCATTGTTTACGTATATCTCTCACGGGAATAATAAGAGCGAAGAAAATATTTCGTCTCTCCATTATTAAAATTGTCCGGAAATTCTTCATGAGCTCATAGTTTATTTTAAAACTTTTTTTTATGCGACAACCCGTGGATATTGTGAGAATTAGCGTGCCGTAAAATTTTAATTAGAGATTTTTCAAGATTACATTTCTACTTAAGGCGTTACTATCTGTTCCACATTTAACACACAATAATTGCACAAACTAAACGCCACATTTAAACTTTCTAGTGTTAAGTTAATATTTTGTAAAAATTTTAAGTATAATATATAAAAAATTTTTCGTATTTATTACTAAAAATCTTATATATGGAATTACGATGTAAGTAATTTTCATGCGCACTCTTTATTTAATTACTTGAGTTTTATTTTAATTATTTGGTTTATTTTTTTCATGCTGATATTCACAATTTGAATGATATAACAGTGTCATATTGCAATTTTGCAAAAAAAAATTTAATAAGCGAAACGCCTTGCGACATTGTCTTTCGACAACTTCGAGATGTGCTCCACTTAATAATGAGAAGAGGCAACTCCGGGTTCTTCCTCGAATACTTAATAAAATCGTCACGAGCTTTCCAAGAATCGAGTAAGTCGTTCATTTTGGAGGCGTTACCACTTCAATCTTGTTTCTCGCACGAGAATAACATCAAAAGATAATACAATTTCAACGAGAGAGCATATTTCATTACAAATTTCCATCATTCACCAACATCTTTGCAATAATTATACGTATTAATAATTATTTCGTTTTCTATCATTATTACGCTTACTGTAAATTAATCTCTAATTTTTTTTCTGTTTATAATTAAATATGTTATACAATAATTATCAAATAATAATTCTACTCGCTATACATGATTGCTTTACTTAACATATTATTTATTTAACTATGTTGGTGTCTTTGTACAAATTCTGTTGCATCAAAAGACTCGCACTTCTAATTGCTAACGAGCTTCGTTAATGAAATTTATTAAATAACGATGACTACAGTTACACCGTGGTTAAAACGCGGAATTA